ATTTGCATAGAACTGTAATCTGGGCTGCAAACCTCTTAACGTCTCCCTCCCCACCAGACTGGGACTAACCCAGTCATCCTTTTTTTTCGTTAAGGCTGCTGCATTGGCTGCCGTGTTTCTGATGCTTATCTTCAGTCTTTCCCCTCCGTCGCTTTTTGATGCAGTGATGGTGCAAAAAAGAGATAAAATATTGGCTCTTTCCACCACGATGTGATTTCAGCTCGAGCATGGGAGAAGCAGGCGATGATGGGATTGCAGTAAACGGCGGCTTCTGGAAGGCTGAGTAATGATGCTCTTGCTTTGCGTGTCGATAACCTCTCATGTGCCCGCCTTGGAGAACTGCAGAGGTGCTCTGCAGATGGCTTCGAGCCGTCAAGGGGAGGCAAAGGCAACCTTAGAGCGGAGGAGAGATGTTAATAAAATTTAAATGCAATTCTTCCCCTTTCTCAGTTCCTAAATGTGAAAAATATTAGCTCGGTGGAGACTGGAAACAGATGGCGAGCAGTTGGAACAGATAAGCATGTTATTCAAAATAAACATTCGCCAAAGCTGGGGAGGTGGCGAACCATATTTCATTTCACCCTATTTACATTATCAGGTCAGGTTACACTGATGCTGCCTCTCGTTTGCATTCAGACTATCAACGGGGAACCCGGCGACGCGAGCCAACTGCGGGAGCTGCAACGGATGGGTCTGGGCCCTTTCCCTGGCTCTTTCTCCGGGACGAGGTAGATCAAGCTTGTTACCTTCAAGCAGCTCTCCTAGGCTGTAGGCGAGGTCCTGCCGGCCACCGAGGGGTGTCCTTCCTTCATTTCCCTCTTTCAAATGATCTCTTTCATCCGTTTTTGCGTTGTTTTGTCTTAAACCGGAGGCTCTTCCCCGTATAAATGGTGAGGGAATGAGCCTCTGGTTCAAAGGGCTGGTTCTGGGAAGGGATCGTTTCGGTGCCTCCTGGGTGCTCTGTAATTGATGCCTCTAGTCCCAGCGCTCATCTGAGGTGGTTGGGCCAGTGGAAGGAGAGGTGAGCCTGGAGTGTGGCTTATCTCCCTCGCTTGGATGGAGGTTTTGCCTTTGGGGGGGTCTGTCCCTTGGCTCCAGAACAAGCTCAGACCCATCTCCTGGGTGACCAAAGAATTTCTCCAGCCAGACTTCATTTCAGCTGCTCCTACCGGGACGGTTCTCCAGTCCCTTGCTCTCAAGAGGCAAGTGTGAATTTTGGGCTCTTTCCTTTTTGAGGTGAGAAGTGGCTTTATAGGTTATAAGCATATTTTGCCTGGTTTAGGTGAAAGTGGAAAACATCTGCTCTGGTTAAGCCTCTTCTTTCTGTGTGAGACCATTGCTTGCGTTCATTCCTGAGTCTCTGAACCCCCAGGCAAACCCTTGTACACAGTTATTTGTTCAAAAGACACCAACTAACCCCAAAACGTTAATTTACAGCCTTTCAGTGTAACCCCTTGGTGGTCGAAGCCTTGCTGCCAAGATCTGATTTTGAGTCTGCTCTCTCTCTCCTGCAAACTGCAGAAAGGGAGAAGCAAACGCTTACCTGTGCGTACCTGCTGGTTATGCAGTGCTGTCTCGTGTTTAATGTGTTGGTTTTTTTCTTATTTCCTCCAATATCTTTCACATTTTGACTTCTAGAGGAAGCTGGAGCGCTTGAGTCTGGCAAACAGGTCTGTGAGAAGCAGTTCTGACTCCGCGGGGCTTATTTAGGAATGGGATCTACAAAGTCGCTCCCAAGGCCAGGCAGGTTCCTCTTTCCTTCTTAAATCTGATGATGGTGAATCCAGGAGAATCCTGCTCCTGCGAGGAGGATGGCCAACGGAGAGGAGAGGAGAGGAGAGGAGAGGAGAGGAGAGGAGAGGAGAGGAGAGAAGAGAAGAGAAGAGAAGAGAAGAGAAGAGAAGAGAAGAGAAGAGAAGAGAAGGAGAGGAGAGGAGAGGAGACCCTTCGTGTCCACCTGCCCCCCAGACTTACTCCTGTCTCTCTCTTCTGTGGTTCCTTATCTTGCCTTTTTGAGGGAAGGTAATATCCAGTTTTCCTCATGCAGTGTTTTTATTTCTTTTTTCATCGCTTAGTTTATCCTCTAATTGCCAAGGGCATTTAAGGACTCATTTAAATTCCAGTATATTTGAGATACTCCTTAACTTGTCACGGTTTTGTTTTTTTTTTTCCTCTTGTGCCTCTTCCCTTTTCTCAAACCCACGGGCACAAAGAGATTTAATAAAGAAGCTTCTTTATAGAGTTTACAACACGAGTAAATACCAGCCGTTCTTCAGAGCTTACCTGTTACTGCAGCGTTCTCTCTAAACACCATGGATGGGAGACTTTAAAGAAAAAAAACATGATGAAATCTGCCTCGAGTAGGTGTTGGAGCCGCCCCTTCTAAAACGTGTTTCTGCATTGATCCCCTGCAAGCGGGAATTCTCTGGGGCCCAGAAAACCCCCAGGTTTTCTCCTGGTGCGCCAGCCCGTTGCCTCACTGAGCTCTTTCTCCTCTCCAGAAAGGAAAATCATCGGCTCCACTTAATCTTGACATATGCTCCTTTTTTAATTTGTCACGCTAGGATGAGAACTGGAGCAGCGAAGGAAAACGCGGCGCGTACCGACAGGCGACAGAGAGTCCCGTCAGAGCTCTTGGCGTGTCGCCCCGGAGCAGAGGGACGAAGGGTTTCAGGTGTATTCAAAGCTCTGGGGCTTTCTAGTTTCTCGCACACCTGGGCTCCTTAACTGGGGCAGGCGGCACAAAGCGGTGTGTGCCTGCAGCTGTCCTCACCCAGGCAGCAGCTCCGCGGCATCGGAAATCTGGAACTCCAATTGCTGTGAAATCTGGTCTTTTGGGGAAGATGAAATTCTTGCGTCGAGCCAAGACTAAAAACAGCATCTCCGAGGGAATCGTCTTCCCATGTGAAACTCCCGGCGCCGATGCCTCATTCTGTGATGAATCTCGGGGTGCGAAACGGAGCGCGCGTCGCTGCAAAGTTTCGGTGTCCGGCAGCTTGGTGGCAAAAGTATGTCACAAGCACGTTCAATGCGTGTCCTGCAGGCACTGCTTGAAAAATAACATTTGTAAAGGTTTCTAAGTCCGGATAGGGTTTGGAAGGAGGAGTTTTGGAAGAAAAACTGACCCAATGTTTCCAGTTTGTGCTCTGACATTTGGATTATTTGGTCCTTGACAAGAATTATTCTTCTTAGGGTATCATCTCAAAATTTGTTAGGACATTTCAGTGTGATTTCACTGATCCAGGGGAGCATCTCGGTGTCCTCTCTGCTCACCTGGAGGCAGCACCGAAGCATTGCCCTTGGGGAGCCTGGAAGTATTTGTGAAATGCGGAAGAAAGGGACGGGGAAGGGGACGTTTCTCTGAGGAGCATCTCCCTGGCTCCTTTTTAGCCCCAGGTCAACTCAAGGCTGACTCAAATCCTTGTTCGCGGTCTGGTTTGCTCACATGATTCTCATTAAATTGGATGTGTTCAGGCTAAAAACAAGAAGGTTTAGAAAGATGGGGTTTTTATCTGCGTTTATAGATGCCCCAGGTCATGAGCAGGAAGCTTTTAAATTTAACAATCCTGTTTGCATCTGGTCTGTTGGAGTGAGCTCTGAAAAGAAGGTGTTGGCTTCTTGTGGGCTTTGGTTTTGGTGTCTCGTGCAGTAGCTGGTTTTATTTTGGGGTTATAAATTCTGTGTGACTTTTTCTTCCCCCACCCTGTAAATGAACCAAATTAGTTCTGCTCACTTAATGCGCCTTAGGAGCATTTTAGGAGGAAAGAGGAGAAACCTCAAGGATTGGTTTCAGGGTCTGTTTCTCTTCAGAGCGTGGCAAGATCAGCTTGAGTCTGGTTTGGTGGGGATTTGTCTCTTAGGTTAATGGTTGGACTCGAGGATCTTAAAAGTCTTTTCCAATCCAGGCTGTTCTGTGTGACTATTTTGCTGCATTTTTTTCAAGGGAGTGGAAAAGCAGGGGGTTGTATCCTCCATCCAGCTCTTAACCGATAAACTCACCCTCTGGAATAAGTGCCTACGGGGGTGAGTGATGTCCCGTCCCTACAGCAGCGCGTCCTTACTCGTCCCAACCGTTGCGTTCACGCGTGGCCGGGGGAGGCTGCACAGCAGTAAGAAATCGTAGGAAAGTTGGACCAAATGTACGTAGATAGTAGTTTGCAATATTATATCGATATGGTTATTCTATGTTAAAATATTAAATGCTAGGAATAATGAGTTTTATTTGTTACCTTGCTGACGTTACTGTTGGCTTGCCATAAGAAAATAACCGAGCCCTCGGGCCTGGTGGCAGAGGAGGTGCTGGTGGCTCCCGGAGGGGATTCCTGGCCAATGGCACGAAGGGCTTAGGCACGAGCTCGTGCCTTCTCCGCTCTCAAAAGCAGCATTTTTCTCATCAGGAGTAACGAAGCAGCACGTTTTTGTGGTTGTATTTCAGCACGAAGCGGCGCCAGCCGATCAGCGCTTCACGGGAGCGCAGCGTTTGGTTGCTTTGACAGAACCTCAGCGCTGGATTTCATACAGTCCATAGATAGTCGTTAAAAAACGTGGATTGCAAGTCGATTTCTAACCTGACTTGATTAGATTGCAGTATGTGCTTTAGTACCTTTCTTCGGTGGAGGGGCGATCCGCTTCACGTTGTCCGGGGTCGGAGCTCCGGAGCCACCGACACGGAGCGCCCTGCAGGGCTTGTGCTGGCTCCCATGGGAGCTGTGCTTCTGGAGGTGCTTAGGCTTTGTCTGCTGAGCTGTGTCATTTAAAAAAAAAACACAAAGAAACCCAACAAAACAAAAGCCAAGAAAAAAAATCCCCTGTTCAGGGCCATACCCTGCCTCGGGGCCACGCAGAGCAGCGCGGAAGCCTTCTGTGATTTATTTTTCCAACCCCTTGACCCTCCCACCTTCACCCTTGCAGCTGTCCTGCGTGTGCCAGGCAGGGAAATGCGTGCTGGTGACTGCCACTAAACCTTCCCACCTTCTCTTCCCACAGTTGCCGTTGAGAAGAGGCTGCCAGTGATGCCCGGATCGCCCGTGGAAGTGAAGATACAGTCCAGGTCCTCTCCGCCCAACATGCCGCCGCTGCCCCCCGTGAACCCCGGCGGCCCCCGGCCCGTGTCCTTCACCCCGACTGCGCGTAAGACCCCAGTAACGCTGCTTTTCCCTGGGACCAGCTCTAGCCAGGAGGAAAGGTTCTGCTCGTAGAAGTCACCGGGGACGTCGCAGGCAGCACGGCGAGCGTTAGCCGTGACACACCGGGTCTGGGGCTTCCCTGCTGTCCTGCTACATGTGCAGGATGTATAACAGGGTCAATAATCCCCCCCTACCCCCTCGCCTGCTCCTGCCTTACTCCCAGTGGTGCCTTGAGCCCTTCTCCTCACAGGTGCAGCCTTGATTTCTGCCATAAACTCCTTAAGAAATAGAAGTCTTTTATCAGGTCAGCTTCAAGCAAGCCAAGAGCCAGGCTTTTCGCTGTATCTTGTGGAGGAGCTAATTCCCACTCTGCTCTATCTCACTTTGCAGACAGCACTTCTGCAGCTGAGATTAGGAAGTTTTCCTTTTTTTTTCTTTTTCTTCTTTTTCTTCAATTTCCCAGCCTCAGAAATTCCTTGCTGTCCATCCAGCTTCTCTTTTCTCCATCTTCTTTTTATAATCTTTGCTGTTAAGCCACGGCAGATCCTGGCCCTGCCCAGCCGCAGCCAAGCGTCGCACCCACTTCTTCTAAGAGGTGATTCTGTGGAAGGGATGGAGGTACAAGTCTTCTCTCACAGCTTAGAAGGAGTCTTTTTTCTCCCTTGTCTGACATTTAAACCATTTAATGTCTTTTTAAAAGGATCATTCTGGAGCAAAGCTGCTTTAATTTGTTGAGCATGGAGTTATCTGACCCCTGCACGTGACACATTTGCATTTTCCAGGCTCTTCTCACCTCTTTTCCCCTGGGCTGAGCATCTCCCTGGCCAGTTCTGCATTGCTTTGCTGCCTGTGACGGTGTCTGGGCTATCTCACAGTTCCACACTGGCACTGGATTTTGGAGATTTGCAATCCAGCCTCTTTGAGGACACACTAATGTACTGCGTGGTGTTGGCAATAGCACTAATCGCCGGGTTATCCCGCCAGACACATTGTCCTGGTTTTTATGCGCTGAGGAGGTTTTAATGGCTCTACTTTTTCTCAGGCAGAAAAAGACCATTAGCAAAGTGACAGAAATTAATTTTTCCAGTGAGGTTGCTTGGCACGCTGCTAAGGGCTGAGGAGCCCGAGTCTGCTGATCGCAGATGACTTGATTGCGTTTTCCAAAGGAGAGGAGAGATGCAACATGTGATGAGATTTTCTCTTGGTTTTTACTTCTTGGTTGCACCAAAGGGTCTTTGTTAGAGGCGATGAGTGTGTGCCCTGCCCTCTAAAAGCCCACAGCTTGGGCAGGCGAGGAGGAGCGTGCTGGACAAAAGCCACCCCTGCCTGCAGGTCAGTGACAAAAGGGTTGGACAAATAGGGAAAAGCCTTTGGGGACTGAGGGCCTAGGGTGGAATTTCACGGAGCAGCCCTAGGTGACGGCTTTTATGTTCCCAGGAATTTAGCGTCCCCCTCTTCCCCCACAGCTGCGATCCCGCTGGACTCGGTGCGCCAGCTCACTCGCTTTGTCGCCGTCCTCTCACCTGGAAAGAGAGGTCCCAGCCCGGCTCTGGGGTGTGCGTGGGGCAGATCCCAGCACCACGCGGGATCGGATAACTGCAGCTCGCACCAGGGTCGGGCAGGGTGAGCCTGAAGATGCAGAGAGCAGTGACGGGGGCCGTGCCTTAACGAGCCGACCTGGCTCTCTCCACTTCCTCAGCATCGCCCATGTCCACCGCTCCTGTCCTTGGCAGCCTCTCCCGAGGGTCCCCACACCCCCTGGCCCCCCTAGGGGGGTTGCACAGCCTCTGCTTCTCCCCAGGTATAAATAGAGCTTGTTGCTGCTCCGAAGTCTTTTCATTTGAAAGAATAAGAGGAAGGAAAAGAGAGAAGGAGGTAAAGCATCGCAGCTGCCAGAGGGCATGGAGCTGCACAGTTCTCCTCTCGATCCTGGCCTTCGCCTTCATTTTGTCATCTCTCTCTCTGTGAAAGGACTTCTTCGTTATGCCCCAGAAGAGCCCATCACCCCCTGGTTACCAGGAACCACCTTTGACGGTCTCTTTAGCTTTATCTTTCCCTTGCATCTTAACTGACTCTGGTTAATCTTCTCCGGTTCCCTCCTGCGCTCACCACGGCAGGTCCAGGTGCCTGGAGCCTTCCCAGCCTCCGACCCCAGAGCGGTTTAACTGTTCAAGTACTTCTTGCTGCCTTCTCCGAAAAAAACCCTTGCTGGGGTCATGAGGATTTGGTACAGTCTTCATGAAGCTGCAGTGGAAATTTTGGCACGTGCCTTCCCCTGCCTCACATGCAAGGGCCGGCTCTGCCGGGTGGCTTCAGTGCTTCTTCTGCTCTGAACGCCATCATCTGATTTTTTCTTTATAGCTTGTGGCCTCTCTTCAGTCCTTGCATCCGTAGGGGATTCAGGACTGGGCTTTTAAGGATAATCCAGTGGATCAGCATGAACTATATTTACGATGATGTACTTTTCACCTCTAAAATTCTGGATTTATACCGAGTTGGGGCCCCAAGCGCACAGCTGCTCTTCAGACAGGGCTCTAGATTGCACAACGACGGCGCGGGGATGTCAGCAATTTATTCTAAATCCCTTGCTGAGTTCCCAAACTTCCAGCCCTTCAGTCTGTTTCGACACGCTCGCCGCTTACAGGAGACGAAGTTGCAGATGGGACCAGGTTGGAAAAAACAACCGTGTTTGTGAAACTCCCTGTAAATCCCCGGGGAGGTGCGGCGGGTGGGCACGCTGCCCGGAGCGAGATGCCGTCAGCCGTCCTCGAGGCGAGGTGGAGGCACCTGAGCAGCCGTAGCTGCTCCTGGGACCCCGGCCCTAACTGGCCCTGGTGACTTCTTGTAAACGATGGGGCTGGGAAGGATCCTTGGATTGTCTCATGTAATTTTCTGCCTGACGTGGGCCAAAACAAGCTGATGGGTAATTCTTGCCAAGGGCTGTAAACTTTGAGCTAAAGCACATTTTAATTCCTCAGGCCAAGTGCACGGCACAGCTTGGGCTGTCGTGGTGGCGGCTTTATGTGGCCTGACCCCGTGTCCTTCTGGGCTGCTCGAATGTGACGAGAGGCGTGCCTGCTCCACTGAGCCCTCCCACGGCCCTGGGCCTGAAGCTTGGAGGAGAGAAATGTTGGGGAAGTCCGTGGCTGGGGTGTAAATCGTACCTGAGCAGTCCTGTGAGGAAAACTCCTGTGGATGCTTTGGCGAAACATGTGGTTCTCGGGGGCTACAGAGCATCCCCAGGAGGTCAGGGAGAGGAGATGGCACACGTGTTGCTGGTGACTGGCTCCCTGGCTGGGTGTCACAGAATCACAGAACGTCAGGGGTTGGAAGGGACCTCTGAAGATCATCTAGTCCCACCTTCATCCCAGCACACCTAACCACTACACCACAGCCTCAAGTGCTAGATCTACTTTTTTTTTGAACACCTCCAGGGTTGGTGACTCCACCACCTCCCTGGGCAGCCTGTTCCAGTGCCTCACCACTCGTTCAGTAAAGAACTTCCCCCGAATATCCAATCTAAACTTACCCTGATGCAACTTGAGGCCATTTTCCCTTGTCCTGTCATTAGTAATTAGAGAGAAGCGACCAGCACCAGCCTCACTACAGCCTCCTTTAGGTAGCTGTAGAGGGCAATAAGGTCTCCTCTCAGCCTCCTCTTCTCCAGACTAAACAAACCCAGTTCCCTCAGCCGCTCTTCATAGGACATGTTTGCCAGACCTCTCACAAGCCTTGTTGCCCTTCTCTGCACCCGCTCCAGCACCTCGATGTCCTTCTTGTACTGTGGTGACCAAAACTGGACACGGTACTCGAGGTGCGGTCTCCAGTACTCGAGTACTTGAGGTGTCCTCCAGCACGGCCTCAGCAGCAGCCGGCTCTTGGCTGGATCCTCTTAAACCAGCTTGCGGGGTCACGCCTGCCTGATGATCAATGTCCCTTCTATCTCCCACTCGCAGTGCCCAACGGGATAAACCATTCCCCGCCGACGCTCAACGGGGCACCGTCCCCTCCCCAGAGGTTTAGCAACGGTCCTTCCTCCTCCTCCTCCTCCTCGCTGACGAACCAGCAGCTCCCAGCCACGTGTGGCGCCCGGCAGCTCAGCAAGCTGAAGCGCTTCCTCACTACCCTGCAGCAGTTCGGCAACGACATCTCGCCAGAGATCGGGGAGAAGGTCCGGACCCTCGTCCTGGCGTTAGTGGTAAGCCAGCGCCTGTCCACGCCCCACGATATTACCTGTTTTTCCATCTTTACCAGCAGAGCTGTTGGCTGAGCAAGGCTCTCTAGTGTTAACACTTGCTGGTAAACCTGCTGACTTCTTTTCTCTTGCATTTGGTGGGTTTCAAAAAGCTGTTTGTCTGGTAACTTTGACGTGAGCTTGTGTGCAGCTAAGCTTAAGGAAAGCTGGAAGGATTTGGACAAGACTTTTCTATAAAGGCCGCAGGTCTGGGTGCCCTGGGCTCACTGGAAGCCACGGGCTACTCTGGGCTTCTCCAAAAATGAAACTTTTCACAGCTGTGGAAAGCTGGTAGTGCCTCTCCTCTCTCGAGCGCGTAGGGAATATCACAACACTTCAGACATTTCACTTACGATGTGCAGTGATAGATTTAATGGGGTTTTTCCCTCTTTATGGGCTGCTCCTGCATGTCTGAAGCCCACTAGCACAGCCAGCTTGAGTGTTGCCGAGATCTGCCGAGGACGGGGACGCTGCTGTTGCAGAAGAGGAGGTCTGGGGGTCTGGGCTGCTGCTGTACTCCGGCTTTGCTGATTACGTGTTTGCCTGCGCTGCCAAAGGTGTAACTCCCTACTTGTGGCAGCTACAGGAAAAGGCTTGGTGAATAGCTGCTGCCAGGCTGGCAGCTGCTTTTTGGCAGGTTTCTTTGGAGGCTCGGTGTGCAGCGAAGGTAGCCGGAGCACAGGCGGAGTGGTTGTGCTGGTGTGGGCAGAGCAAACGTGGGTCTGGCCTTGGCCTTGGGGGCTTTCACAGCGTTTGAGCACTGGATGCAAAGTGCAGGGGACGCAGGATCAGGCTGCGGGAGGAAGGTGCTGGTGGGGTGAGCAGCGAGTTTGTGATGACTTCATGGATGGATAAGATGAGATAAGCTGGAAGGGAGGAAGGAGGAGAGGAAGGTGTGCGACTCTTGACAGCTGGAATCACTGACTCTTGCAGCCAGGGTGCAGGAGGTGCCAGCCAGGTCCTGCTGCCTCCCTGGGGCCGGTCCCTGCCTGCCAGCCCCCGAGCTGGGGGATGCTGGGCCGGGCAGTGTTCACCCTGCACCCAGGGCAGCATTTCTGCTCCATTAGCCTGAGGCGGTTTGGCTGCATTAGGCGGAATCCGCTGGAAATGTTGTGGGTCCAGCCGTGGCAGGTGCAGTCTCCCTGCCTGTCCTGTTCGTTTGGAGCCTTTTCCCACGTGGCTCAAAAATAAGAACAAATTGTCATTTAATTTCTGAATTTCTTTTCCCAGAACTCAACGGTGACAATTGAGGAGTTTCACTGCAAGCTACAAGAAGCGACGAACTTTCCCCTCCGGCCGTTTGTGATCCCCTTTCTGAAGGTGACCGGGAGCTGGTGGGCCTTGCCGATGCTCTGGGTGCCGGTCTGTGCCTCTTGGCAGCCTGTCATTGCTGGGAAAGCTTCTGTTTCGAGCACCACAGCAATTTTGTTAGAAGTGCAAGACAGACCGTGCAGACCGTGTGGGACTGGCTTGTGGAGAGCAAACGTTACAGCGAGTGTCACATATGTCTGCTTGCACATTAGGGATAAAGGACACCAACCGAGCTCTGTTCAGCTGCTTCTCATCCTATAATCTTACTTGCAGTCGTTCAAATCTAGAATATTTGAGGCATTGGCATCCGGAGTGTGCCTGGGGTGGTTAGAGGCTGGAAGCACAGGGGTTGGGTGCATTGCCGTCGGGCCGTTTGAGAAAATGCAGGTAAATCTGCCAGCGCAGATCCTGAGTGGGGGCTACAGCCTTGAGGTGTTACTGCTCCGAGGGGGTGGGTGGGCAGAGCCAACCTTGTGGCCGGAAACGCCCACCCGAGGCTGCGTAAAGCAGACCCGTGTTTTGTTTTGCAGGCCAACCTCCCGCTGCTGCAGCGAGAGCTGCTCCACTGCGCCCGCGCCGCCAAGCAGACGCCCTCCCAGTACCTGGCGCAGCACGAGCACATCCTGCTCAACACCAACACTGCGTCGCCCGCCGACTCCTCCGAGCTGCTCATCGAGGTGAACGGCAATGGGAAGAGGCACAGCCCGGACAGGTAAAAACACCTCTCGCCACTCTGCCAAGTGGTCGAAGCGGTGACTCTTGTTTCCGCTTTGGAGCTGTGAAAGTTTCACGCAGCATTTAGGGCTGAACCATAGCATCTTATCGCTCCCAACAACTATTCTAGCTGTTAAGACACCAGTGATTGCTCCTCCTGCACTGTGAGTTCAGGTTGGGATCCTTGTTCAAGCAGGTTCTGTCCCAGAGGGACTAGTTGGGGAGCACCGAAAGGCCTGAGCTGGAGAGCGGAGCGCCTCTCCACCTCCCCGAGCAATGAGGGGAAGCACGGTCAGGGCTGGGGAGGATTTGGTTCATTTTCACTCATTCCAAGTTAAAAGTTGTTACGTAATTATGTGGCGCATGCCTCAAGTTTTTAAAAACTGTGAAATTTTGATTTGGACGGGCTCGGAGAGATGAATCACAGCACTCGGGCATCTCGAAATTTTTCTTTGACTAATCATTTCGTGGATTAGTTCACAAGCTGAGCGTGTTTGGTTGAGCCCCCAGCCTTTACCCCCCTCCACTTCGGTAAAATCATCGCTGCCCAAACTCTGCTGGTTTGAAATCTGCATCTTCCCCTTGCCGAGTACGTTTGTGTGGTGCTGACACGTAGGTCTCTCTGCCGGTGCGGTTGCAGGAGGGAAGACAGCAGCTT